TGCCCTCTCCTCTTCGGAACCGTAACAAACTATCTTTTTTCAATGACAGTAGTCCCCTGCTCACCATACCTGAATAAGGACAAAACTTACATTTTAAGAAACACCGGTTAAAACAATTCCAGGGACCAGAAGTTCATTTCTTTGCAAGGCAGCAGTTTCAGTAGTGAACTAAATAGGCAAGTTCTTTTCTATCTTAAACAGAAGTCTGCTTCCCTGTACCTTCTGATAACTCTGCCTGCAGGACAACAAACAAATCTACCCATTATTTAAAGAGATGACCATCAGATATCTGAAACACATCTATGATTGTCTTTGCTGAAATACATGTGTGAGAATCACACACGTGAAATCTGTAGATTTTGGGGGGCTTTATTTCTAGTCTCCTTCAAATGACTAGTATTTCACAAGTCATTTTGGTTTCAATAACTCAGTGGATTAAATATAGTCTTCCAACATTCCCAACATCCACAATGACCATTCATTCATGGATGCATGGATTGATTAAGCAGCCACTCAGCAAGCAGTCTGGTGGTCTTCAGTGGTTTATCCCTGTCCTTGATTTCAAGTGCAGTGTCTGCTGGAACTGGTCTGCTCCACGTGTGGCTTCCCTCTCACTTATTTCCATGGGCCTAGTGACCCGGTCTATAGTGGTGCCAGGCATGGCATCAACTAAAATTTCTGAATCTTTTAAGATGAATTGTCATGAAATACATTATATCCTGTACTTGAGTTGTGATTTTACTGCAGCCTTTTAGATTTTTTCAGTGTGAATGTAAAATCCCCTGTTCTCTAGTGCACAGAGCTTCCTCCAGAGTTACTTTTCTTTTCTTATTTAAAACTATTTTTCCCCAAATAGCATGCTAATTGTAAAAAAAAAAAAATTATCAGATAAATTTGCAATGAAAGACTTAGTTCCCTGTAATCTTATTCCCATTTTGGTGTATACTATATATTTTTTCCTATACACAAGCCTTTGGGGTTTTGTTTTGTTTTTTGGCCATGCCACACTTGAGGAATGTATTTTTGTTCCCTGACAGGATTGAACCCCAGGCCCCAGCAGTGAAAGAGTGAGGTCCCACCTACCAGACTGTGGATCATATTATACATACAATTGTAATTCATTCATAAATATGATACAAAAAATGATTCATTCATAAGTATGGCTCTATGGGAAAATTTTTACCAATATATCTTGGGTGTTGTAGAGCCATATTTATGAATGAATTACAATTAGCAGAGTTCCTTGAGGGCACAGAATATTGTGTTTAAGTATTTATGAACCACAACACATAAATGATTCAATCTTTGAATGACTACATTGTAAATGATTCCTATGGACTTACAGATTATGCATTTCAGCCAATACTGGGACACTTTGTCCTTCAAATTTCTATAGAAGTCTTGGATGGTATGTGATTCATTTATATTGCTAATTGTATCTAACATTGCTGTGTTTATACTGATTATTTCAATAATTTGGTCCTGTTTTAAAAAGAACAAGTTGAAGGACATTCATATCCTACTGAATGAGAATTAATTGATTCTATTATATTTCCATTCCTTCATGAGAACAGCCCATTTTGCTCCAAAGTATTTCTCTATCAGATTGCATAAATAATGGAAATTAATATAAGTGGTAGTTAATTACATTCCACTTATGAGTACTATGCCTCCCTTAAGGCTCAGCTGGTAAAGAATCTGCCTGCAATGCAAGAGACCTAGGTTCAGTCCCTGGGTTGTGAAGACCCCCTGAAGAAGGGAAAGGCTACCCACTTCAGTATTCTGGCCTGGAGAATTCCATGGACTGTGTAGTCCGCAGGGTTGTAAAGAGTCGGATACAACTGAGCGACTTTCACTTTCACTATGAGTACAGGGAAGTTTCTACAGTTTTGATGACAAATTTTCTTCTCACAGTATCTAGTGTTTTTACATTATCAAAAGAAATTATTGATTTAATGTAGCTTATCAAAAATAGTCTAAGATTTCACTCACATTTTCAGCTATGTTTTTGCTGGTCAATACCTAGACTTACATTAAGTAAACATGCAGCTAAAAGAAAAAATAAAGATGTGAGCAACACTATCATACACGTTTCTGTTTTTGTTAATGATTTTTAAAAGCCTTAAATTATATTTTGTATCATTCTTAAATGATAATAGCTTGTAATCCAAGTGGAAAATATATTCAAATAATCTTAATCAGTGAGCTGACAGCAGTTAAAAGCCAGTATCTTTTTCTGGTTTTTAATAATGTAAACTTATTATTTATGATATTTTCATTGTTTCATGTATCTGCCATTGCAAGTCCCTTGCAATGTTTAAATCATTGAAAGAATAACATGGATAATAAGTCACTGACTAATTTTCAATGTGAGTATAAAAAGCTATATCAGTGTGAACAAGTGGATTTCTGTGAGAAACAGAATCAAGACAATGGACAGTCTCTTCAGCCAGGAACAAATGCAGGTTTTTGTGTGTTAAAATACAAGGATGTTTTATGTCCCATCTATGTCTATATTTAGCTATCACTGAATACTTATGCTATAAGTATATACCATACTAATGTTCTATTGTCTTCAAGAAAGTCTTTAATTTTCTTCTAGCTGAATGTAGGTTTTTAAAGAGACTTTATTTTTTGGAACAGTTTAGATTCACAGAAAAATGAGACAGTAGTACAGAGTTCCCATATGTCCCCTCTTCCAATTTCCCCCGTTAATAACATCTTACATTTTTATGGTTCATCTACAAGTAATAAACATATTGATACATTATTAACTAAAGTCCATAATGTATTTAGATTTCCTTATTTTTTACCTAATATCCTTTTCTGTTCCTGGTTCGCACATTACATTGACTTGTTATGTTTCCTTAGGCTCCCTGGGGTGTGAGTGTCTCTGATTTTCCTTGTTTTTGATGACCATGACAGTTCAGAGTACTGCTCAAGTATTTTGTAGGATGCCCCTTTATGAATCTGATGTTTTTCTCAAGGTAAGACTGAGGTTATAGGTAATTTTCCTAGGAGAAATTAGATAGCTAGAGATTAAAAGCACATCTAGACTTCATCAAACTGTTGTCATGGACATAACTCATATACCAATTTTAGTACTGTACCTATTCAGTATGATTAGAGGTAGCAAAGATAGTCTTGAGAAAAGAACATGATCATTAAAAAAAAAAAAAAGCTTAGCTCTAAAAAAATAATTTGGAGGTAGGTAACATTATAAAGAACACAAGCAGTAGTTATATTAAATCTCTTTCTGAAATAACCATGTTCTTTACTAATTAAAATTACAAGGTCAGAAAGGCAAAAATACATAAATAATAAAGTTAGTTCAATTCTGTGTATCTACAGAGTTAAATTTGGGATTTATGTAAATATGTTACTCAAATATATCTATGTTTTAAAAACAATTGTTATATTTTTATCAAATAAACAATAAATAAATATTGTGCAGGACTCTCTTATCTATGTGTCAACAATAGTCTTAAATCCTTAGAAAATTTATAGTAGGCAATCATTCTCAAAGAATTCTCTCCTGAGCAGTGGTTCTCAATCTTTAGCGTGGATCAGAATCATCTCAAGGGCTTGTTCCAACAGATTCCTGGGTGCGTCCCCAGCAGTTTCTGATTCCATGGGTTTGGGGTGGGGCCTGAGTGTCCACGTCTAACAAGTTGTCAGGTAAGGCTGATGCTGCTGGTCTAAGAGCCACACTATGAAAACCACTGAGCGCAGTCAACAAAGACACTGCATTCATTACATGTGGATGATGATGAGGGTGTTTTGCATATATAATCTTAACCAGTCACAGAATCTTACCAATAAGGTATGACTAACCCTTTTATAAATGGGGAACCTGCATCCAGAGAAACTGAGGAAATTGCCTGAGGAGATAATGGGATCAGGTGGCAAAACTACAATTCGGATCTCCTTTGATTCCTAAGCCATGTTTTTCTGGTATGACATACTCCTCCATGTTGATAAATAAGCGAAATGCATGCATCCTTGGCCTGGCCTATCCAGAAAGGAGACTGTCCCAAAGATATGGACAGTGATTTGTTCAGCTTTGTAGGGTAGTATTTAAAGGATAGCAATTCTTGGGTCATGAAGAGGATTCACTTATTTCTAACTTCTGAAACAGTCAACGGCAAAGTGAATTTACAGTATAATTAAACAAAACAGGAAGAACATGTATTTAATATAGTTCTGAATAGTCCTTAATTACTATTATTTTATTCCTTACAGAAAAATGCACATTTAAATTAAAATCCTTAAAATAATAATCTCATTTCCATTTAAACTGAAGGCATCATACTATTCTAAATGTCTGCTGTGTACACTATGTCACCAGTCAACCACTACTTACTCAGGTATTGAAGTAACACAGCATGATGGTCTTCAACAAAATGCTCCAATAATTACTACCACATTTATCTCCTTTCACAAAGAAAATTAAAAACAACAGCATACAAACAAAACAAGCAATTAACATTTTTAAAGTAGTACATTTTACAGTAAATAAATTGCCAAAACTGAAGTTGCCAATAATATAAATTTGTTACTTTGTTATACTCTATATAAAAAAGACACTGAGACACAAAATTATTGGACTGCAGACTTAAAACAGTTCATGAGGTCTAAACATCAGAATGACCAAAAAACCCACCCGACTCTGTCTCTATCAATACAAATATTTTACATTAAGAAAGACTCCCTTTTAAATATCTATATACATATTTCCATTTAATACTGTTAATTAAACCCACAGTTATATTTATTTAAATAAGAGTTAAATAAACCACCCCAAATGCTGATTTCATATCACAAAACCTAAGTATTTTAAATCACAACTTCAGGGTGGTATAGTGTATTCACTGGTTCCTTAGACAATACTAACAAGCATATTTTTAAGAATATATTTTCATGAATACGTCAGGTAAAGCTTTATTAAATGGTAAACACTTTCAACAGTGCAGAAATACAAGTTTCAAAAACAAATACATTCAGAAGATCTGCTGTTCAAATAATATCTTTTCAAAACCAGGTGGAGGAGTATGATAAAATTCACTGAACTGGCAATCCAAAATTGCACTGTCATCAACTAGAGACAGAAAAAGAAAGAAAATAAATTAGAAGCAAACACCTTAAATTGAATGAGTACATATTTATAAACTGTTTCCACAATGCCATAAAATTAATTTGCAGGAAGAAGAAACACATCTGCTATCCAGGTTACAAAACATGATCCTATTGGGTAAAAACAGCCACAGTGAAGAATAAAATCTGTCAAGAACACTGAACGGAAATACATCAAAATATTATGATTATTTCTAGATGATGTAAATACACATAATGTGAACTTTTCCTTATTTACCTACCTGTATTTTCTCAATTTTATACATTAAGATAAATTACTTCTTAAAAAATATTTTATTTAAAAAGGATAGATTCACAAAGAGTAGCAAAAACAATACAGAAGGTCCCGGGTAATCTTCGTCCAGCTTCCCCCAGTGGTAACATCTCATACCACTACAGTACAATGTCCAAACCAGGAAACTAACACTGATACAATACTCTTAATTAGCCTGCAGGCCTTATTCAGCTTCTACATGTTTTTTTGTTTTGCTTTTTTTTTTTTAAACAGTATTTATCCAAGAGAAATGAATGCATATATCCACACAAAGACTTGCACATCAATGTTCACAGCAGCTTTATTTGTAATGGTCCAAAACTGGAAACAACCTACATATCCAACAACAGGTGAAGGGAAAAATCAATTGTGATATATCCACACAATGAACTATACTACTTGGTAACAAAAATGAATGAATTCCTGCTACATGTTACAACATGGATGAGTCTTAACTACACTGAGTAAAAGAAGCCAGATTAAAAAAATACAAATTGTATGATTCTATTTATACAATACTCTAAAAACGTAAGATAATCTTTAGTGACAGAAAGCAGATAGTGGCTACAAGGGGCATGGGGTGGGGAGAGGTGAGCAGAATGCATGGCAAGGCGGCAGGAGGAAACTTAGGGGTGACAAATATGTTCATTATCTTGACTATAGTGATGATGTGGGTTTCACTTTATAGCTATTTGTTAAGTTGCATATATATGTTTAATGCACATTACTAAATAGTTTATATTTCTTTATCAATGCAGGAAAAAAGTTAAGCACTGGATGTGACATTCATGAAATCACTGGTGATTTTTTAACAGAGGTGGTTTCAGTGAAGCAGTGGTAAAGGCAGCCGCAGTAGTTGAAGATAGAATAAACAGAGACGGAAGCTATTTTATAGGAAATGCAGCCATATAGAGAAGGGTAAACCCAGGCCTGGTGAGGGGTACAAGTTTAAGGGAGGGTATTTTGGAATAAGAATGATTTAGAATGTTTACAGGCATTGAAGAATGAGGTTGATGACTATGACATACAGATGAAATAACTGACAATAAAGTCCCAGAATTGGGAAGTTCGAAATCTAGACTGAGTTTTTGGAACATGAAGGGCACTTCTCTAAGATGGGATGGGAAGGAGACAAGATTGGAAGAGAAAACCGTTAGGAGGTGGGGGAGGGAAGCTGGAGTTCACCATGATGGACTGTTTCTCTATAAAGTGGAAGATGGATCTACAGAGAATGAACAGGGAATTCAAGAATGACGAAAGTCTGGAAGGTGCAGAGATGTAAAAAACACAGAGAACTCAGATGAAGCTGGAGGTCCTAACTGTGAACAACACTCTTCTTCACTGTTACTCAATTTTGTCTCTCCACAGGTTGAATATAAGGACTGACAGTATGAACAACTGGAAAGAATTAGGATTGGGGATAGGATAGAAGGCAAAGGGTAAGGGAATTTGAATTTTATTTTTATCTTTGATATTATCTGGCTATTCAAATATCTGATTTAACTGGACTGATTTATTAATTTCAATTTATAAAATATATTACTACATAAACTTCACTGCATTAAAAATACTGCCAAATCAAAGAAACAATTTAGAATAAAAATCTCGTTTGTTATCTTCATTTGTGTAACTCAGTCTAAAATTTTACTGATATTTATTTCATTTCTCAGACTAAACTATTTCAAATATTAAGCTATATTTCCATTTATTTAAGTAAATAAAGACATTACTTTTAGGGTTACCAAATACTGCAAGCAAACTAACTTGTATCAAGTTTAAAAATACACCTATCATGCAAAAGACAAAGAAGGTAGAAGCACTGAAAAGTAGTATTTAGGGAAAAAGAAGAAAAATGAAAACTTTAAAGCACAGGCTTTGGTTGTTATATCAAATTATTAAATATTTATATTGGCTACTGTATACTTTTCTGCCATCCTGAACAAAGTCTGTTACTTTTCTGGTAAGTTACTATAAAAAAGTTAACAATTAGTTTTTGCTATGGTTCAAATCCTTAATTATTTAAAGTAATTAAATGAGAAAATGTTTCACGATCCACTAATACCACAGGCAGAAAAATCATACACTTGTTGATTTAAAGTAGATAACACAAAAAATGAAGAGAGTGATAAAGGCACTGTACTTATGTATGTTTCCTATAAAGAGAGACACCTTATTTTTTAGGGATACATATAAAATATTTTAGAATAAAATGGTATAATGTCTGGCATTTGCCTCAAAACAATATAAGGAGGCGAGGTGAAGAACAGAGGGCTGTAGTGAGGAGATGAAACCTGTCTGGCTATTAGCTGACAAATGTTTGAAGTTAAGTAATGGGTACATGAGGGTTCATTATTCTATTCTGGTTACTTCTACACATTTGGAATTCTCTGTAATAAAATAAAAGTAACTGAGGGGTACAGAGTTATCCCTCTAACTAACCCAGTTCTTGGAGGTATACTTGTACAGAAACCATACATGGCTATCAAAAGCAAAACAATCAATACGAAACCATTCTAAGTCATAATTTTTCTCAGAAGAGTTTTAACACTTAGGTGATTTTGTAAAGGTAACCAATGCTCAATCCACATGGAATTCCCATCCCTACTTTCAAAATATTCTTTACATTTTCTGTTCATCTAACCCTTTCTAACAACTGGCAGGAATACCTTTTTATAAATTCTGTAAAGTTTTTAAAACTTTCTGGAATATAAGACTATGTGATCTAAAAGGGAATATGGCTATTGTATATTTAAGAATAATCATTGTATTTAACAAGTTTATTTTTATTTTTTTTCTTTTAGTAATAATTTTTTTTCCATTTATTTTTATTAGTTGGAGGCTAATTACTTTACAATATTGTAGTGGTTTTTGCCACACATTGATATGAATCAGCCATGGATTTACATGTGTTCCCCATCCCGATCCCCCCTCCTACCTCCCTCCCCATCCCATCCCTCTGGGTCTTCCCAGTGCACCAGCCCTGAGCACTTGTCTCATGCATCCAACCTGGGCTGGGGATCTGTTTCACCCTTGATAGTATACTTGTTTCACTGCTGTTCTCTCTGAACATCCCACCCTCGCCTTCTCCCACAGCAAGTTTATTTTTTAAATACAAAGGAAATAAAAACTTTCCTTAGTCCTGCAAAGAGGGATTGTGATAACTACTGAGTATACTCCACATACAAAGGTACTTATTAATTTGTCCAGCCTTCTGAATGATAGTTACAAAGTTAATGAAAATGCCAAGCAAAAGTTAACATACATTTAATAATGTTTAAAAATATTTTCGCTTACCATAAACAACTGGATACACTGTCCCTCGTATACCTGATGCTGGACAATGCATGTTTTTTCCATTCAAATATACATTTAATTCTACATGGTCATATGTAATACCCTAGGAAGCAAAGTAAATATTAAAAAGAGGGAAAATATATATGTTCCATAAAAACCTGAACAGTCAGAAAGCACTAACTGGGGAGCATGGAAACAAAAAACTAAGCAAAAGATCATAACAGATTTTTTCTATTTGAATTGAGCTTAAAAAAAAGTAGCGGTGATTATGTGGGGAGAGGGGAAAGGTAAAATCCCATGAGTCCACATTTGAGGGGTAAAACTAAATCCTAGTATTCTATTCAGATAATCTGGGTTTTATATTTTGAATATTTAGATGATATAAGTACTATGTATACTGTAAACAGAGATACCTTTTGTACTCACATAGAAAACACTGCTTTATGTAGAATTTGATAACGAAAGGGGAAAACAGTGAAGTTTTCACCATTAGGGGTTATTACCTATCATTGTTTTCAGTTGTGGTAAACTGTCTTTATACAATTTATTTTCAAAAAGAAATAATATATTTCTCTATCTCTTTACCTTGGTTTCAAATATGTGAAATGTATTACTAAGGTAAGGTGGGTATTTACAACTGCATATAACTGGTAATTAGTATAAGGGGAAAATAGAAAAACAACAGCTCAAAAGACTTTAAAAAGAAAGCAAAATAAAAATATATTACTTTGCATATTATTAATGGTACAAAATTACATTATTATTGACATTCTGGAAAACAATCTGTATTATGTACCAAACACTAGACACTTCATATTTACTCATTTAACCCTAGGTATTTTTATTATCTCCATTTTTCAGATGAGGCAGCTAAAGCAGAGAGGTTAAATAACTTATTTAAGGTTGCACAGTTAGGAAGTGGCAGAGCTGGAATTTAAACTGATGCAGTATGGCTTTGGAAAACTTATTCTTAATTGCCACACAATTCAAAGCTTGTAAGGACTTTTACACTTTTAAAACTCTCTTTAAAACTCTGTACGGTATTTACTAGCTGAAGATGGAAAGCTTTCCTTTGAAGAATGACAGCAGAATGACACAACTTTGAATAGAGAAATCATCATAGATCAAGAAGCAACCACTTGAAGGATTTCTGACTATGGATAAATTATATAAACCTAAAAGCTTTTGTAGGTAGTAAAAGACCTTACAGATGATCTAGTCTTAAATCCTTCATTTTCCAGTTAAGACAGCAAAGGCCCAGATAAGTCAACATGTTAAATGCTATAAAAGATTCTCCTTAAATCTTAGCAAAGCCACGGTTAGACTAAACACTGAGAAAGATAAACAAAACTGCTTTTGCTTTATTTCAGTTTACATATTTAAATATAATAATAAAGTGATCGCCAGGATTCACTTTTAGTGAAGAAATCTGTTTTCATTTAAAAAACCTGATTACATAAAAAGCAGCATGTAACCCTCTTTACAGGATTACTGGAAACCCAGTAGTTCAGGCTAACAGGTTATGATCTGGGCACCCTCCCCACCTGGTGGCAGCATAACCTACTGCAAGTTCTCAACCCCACCCTCCAGCATCAACGCCCAGTGAGGGAGTGGGTGAGTGAGTGGGTGAGACTCTCTGCAACCCCATGGACTACAGTCCATGGAATTCTCCAGGCCAGAATACTAGAGTGGGTAGCCTTTCCCTTCTCCAGGGGACAATACCAAATACCCAGTATCAAAGATCCCTTGGAGAAGGAGATCGCAACCTGCTCCAGTATTCTTGCCTGGAAAATCCCATGGACAGAGGAGCCTGGTAGGCTACAGTCCATGGGGTCACAAAAAGTCAGACACAACTTAGTGACTAGACAACAAAAATACCAAAGAAAGAAGTGAGGAAGGATGTGAGAAACCACACCATAGGATCTTAGTTCTGTGACCAGGGCTGAACCAGTGCCCTCTGCAGTGGAAGCATGGAGTTCTAACCACTGGACTGCCAGAGAATTCCCTTAATCTGTCCTTTTATCTGTTCTAGATACTAGGTTTGATTCTCTCATAATGATACCAAAAACCTGATATGTGCTAAGGATTTATCAATAATTATTTGCAGGTTTGGTGAACAGACTCTGAAATTAGACTGTAATCCTGAGGTCACTCTGAATAAGAAATTACTTAACTTCTGGTCTGTAAAATGGTAATAATAGTATGACCTATTTCACCTTCTCTGAAATCAAACTGAAAACTGCAATTTTGAAATGTAATCTGTACTTTTCAAAACTATATACAAAAGAAACAAATAAGTATAAGCTGCCTCAGGTGTGCCTGCTTGGTGCTGCAGTAGGCCCTGCTGATTCTGTATGGTTATTACATAAACATAATCATTTGGTTGGATGTTGAAAGCTTATTTTTCTTGATTTTTTCCTCAGAGAATGGTATATGACTGAAATTCTACACATATGAGAATGTTTTTACTGTCTTATAATTCATTCCAGTTTTCCTATGCTATTGTCAGCAATTTGGTGAAATTTGTTTGCAAGTGTTTGAACTAGGAAGATACAGGTATTAGTGTGGGATAATGCTTTACTTTTCAGAATTCTGCTCATATTTCATCTTTTTTGAGCTCTCCTTTTATCAGAATGGGCATAAAAACTCAAAGTCTAATTTAGTCATGCTGACAGACTAAAAATGACATTCTTAAATCTGTCAATATGAAGTACCAATCATCTTAAGGAATGAGATAGGAAGTAAAGAATAACACACAGTACAAGTTCAGTACATCATCAAAGAAAAACTTCTGTTACTGATTATCCTTTCTTCTTCTTTTTTTGGTCTCACCATGCAGTACATGGGATCTTAGTTCCCTGACAAAGGATGGAACCCGTGCCCTCTGCAGTGGAAGCACGGAGTCCTAACCACCGGGGAGTTTCCCTGATTATCCTTTATGTTTGAATTTCATTTTTTAGTATAAGCACGCTGACAGCATCAACTTGACTTCAAGATTTTCTTTCATGAAATAACCCCTTGAATAGGGTGTTCCACATTACGGGCATCTGGCAATGATCTATAAACAGAACCAACTATTTAAAAGGAAAAACGAGGAAAAGCAGATTTTAAAAATGGTTTATGCCTTTGGTTTCCTTGTTTTCTTTAGTTAATTTGGGGGAAAAAAACACTTTCAATAATTTACCTATTTAAAAACTATTCTTCACAATTTTTTTTTTAACTTTAGAGAAGACAGATGAGACCATGGTCAAAAGCTTTCATTTCCTCATCATTTTTTACCTTCTCCCAAATAGTGTATACTTCTTTAATTCAGTAACCTGGATTTACCTCATCTGTTATCTAATTATTAGAAACTCTCATTCTTTAGATTCCTTTCAACTTGGTACAAGAGCTAGGAACCCAAGACTGTGTATAAGGACACTCTTGCTAAAGCAGACCCAAGAACTCTATTCTCAACAGCTAATGGCCTGAATTCAATGTATAAGGTTCTTGGAAAACAGTGAGAAGTAGAATCTGAAAAAGACAGAAAGGGATCTCTGGACTACATTTTCAATAGGATGACTTTGGCAAAGACTTGAATATATCTAATTGGGAATAAAAACTGAGAAGCCTTCATAATATGTAATTCCTTCTATCCCCTGCTTTCCCCAAAAAAACTTTTCCACAATCAAGCCTTAGGATTTTGAGTCAGTTCTTGAAAGAGTTCTGAAAGTGAAGGAAGTTTAACCAGGCTAAGTTTAAGGAGGACCAACACTCCTGATAAAAATGCTATAATTCTTTAACAGAAGTTTGTAACAAATTAAGTAATAAATGGGAGATCGCCAGCTGCAAAAATACCTAATCTTTTCTAACGTAAGGGTCAGTGTTCTTTTAAAATTGTGGGCCAAGGTTTCTTTTATGTGAGAGTGGCAGGAGAGGTTGACTAGAAGCCAACCAGTCATAAACTCTCCTAAATGGAAATAAGGGCTCATGGTGATTTTCCTGGCCAGTGTAGCTCTAGAAAGAAGACATTTAGGTAAGGCAGCAGAATCAACATCAAGGCTCTCTTTGGAAAATGAACGACCTCTTTAGATCCAATCCCGGTGCTCTGGAATTTGGACCACAAACTCCCAGGCAGAACTAGAAATACTAAAAGCAGTTCAAGTTCAATAATTCACAGTGGAAAACAAGTCCACAAGGAAACTCACCACCACATCTCCCTCCTGTGGAAGGCTGTTTGCTGGTAGTCTGTTTTTCTCCTCATTGTTGTGGTATAGGGCTCCATCATTTCTCATCACCAGACTGTGTACATCTCGGCCAAGGGGGATCTGATTCAAGTTAACTTTCTGAGTTGCAACGCCAATACCCCAGATTCCTAAAAAATATAATAATTTAAATGTTCCCCAAATCTGAAGAATACAAATATGAAAGGAGTTGTTTTAAAAGAGAGTGTAAATTGTTCATAAAGAAAGTGGCATATTATCACTAAATTATTTTTTGTTAATCTTAAAAAAAAATTTTTTTTAAGTAGTTTGCAGATGTAGTACAGCCTGGGAGATAAGAGCAGCCCCTGGATTTGTACTGCCTGGTTTAAATCCTGCTTGTGCTGTCATCTTGGGCAAGTTATGTAACCTCTGTTTCCTCATCTGTGAACTATGGAGTCTAACAGTATTCACCTCTTAAAGTTATCAGAAGATACAGCAAGATCATCCAAGTAAAACAATTGATACACTGTATTTTTTTAATGGATAAGTAAAGCACAGAGGAAGTATTTTTTAAAAGATGCTAGCTGTTGTCAATACTATTATTATTATTCCCTGAAAAGATTACTAAAAAGCCACACATTGAATTTAAATAGCCGGGGGTTCTATTTCAAGCACCACCTCTGAGAAGCAGGAAATCACTTCTTTAGTTTTTGCATCTGTAATATGTGACCAATAATGTATGACCTGATCAATACTATGGAGAGGAGAAAATTAATGATAAAATGTAAAATCATTTTCCTATCTAATACCTTAAGTCCATGAGTTTAAAACCTTTTGGTGTAAGCTGACTTTTAAAGAGACCAGCTCTCTTTATCAGTCTAACAGAATATGTAGAGCTCTTGATTATATCTCAAACTGTTTCCTTCTCAGTTTTTATCAAAATCAGTGGAAATTCTAAAGAATGCTTGAAGATCATGCTGTCAATCAATATTTCCTGGATTGAGTCAGGCCATCAGAAAGCTGCATGTCTGGACTTCACTGTCTTGGCTTCCTAAATAATTTGATTATATAATTTATCCTCCAAGGTGAGACAAGAGTGACAGTAGGGGATGATACTAATTTCATGTGACAACAGTTCTAGACAGGGTTATAGAGTCCCCTTCTCCTAAAGAACTGTGCACTGTGATACCCTTTGGCACACTGCCTGATGCTTTCATTGAAGGATCATTGCTACAAACTCCAACAATACACTTATTCTAGAAATATCTTTGAGGATAGCATCCTTTACAGAAAATCCACCAAAAAATCTGTATTACATTTAAGACTCAAGGAAATATTCATTTCTCTTGAGAAAAGGTATGTTATACTTGAGAAAATTATAGTAACCAGAGAAATTTCGCAGCCAGTGAGTTAACTTACAAAATAATGGAATAGAGGACAGACTTATATTTATTTTACACACTTAAGAAAAATCAATATTTAAAACAATTTAAAAAAGTCCCAGAGGGATATTTTATGTCTTTCATGTAAGAGCAGAATTAATTTACTCCTCTCTAGTTTCCCTGTTCTGCACCTATATCACTCACGCCATAATTTACTACAAGTTTCTTTCTAAGAAAGTCTTAAAAAAATTTCCCCCTGTTCAAAACTGCCACAAGTTAACTAATAGTAACCGTTATAATACTCACGTAGAACTGCGATACAAGTCAAGAAACTTCATAATTTAAAAAATTCTTTTAAATTTTAATTGAAGCATAGTTCATTTACAGTATTGTGTTAGTTTCAGGTGTACATATTCAAAAAATTTTAGAGACTTTAGCCTTTACCAAAATTCTAAATCTGCCAATCACTTCAGAAGACACTGTATCAGGGAATCTTAACAAGCATTAAGAGAAAAACTCAGGATCATAAGATTAATTTTATCCTAAGATAAAAAAGCAAGAGACTACACCTTACACGCGTGACCAAATGAAATGGTTCATCTGCTGCTGCTAAGTCACTTCAGTCGTGTCTGACTCTGTGCGACCCCACAGACGGCAGCCCACCAGGCTCCACCGTCCCTGGGATTCTCCAGGCAAGAACACTGGAGTGGGTTGCCATTGCCTCCTCCAATGCATGAAAGTGAAAGTGAAGTCGCTCAGTCCTGTCTGACTCTTCGTGATTCCATGGACTGCAGCCTGCCAGGCTCCTCTGTCCATGGGATTTTCCAGGCCAAGAGTACTGGAGTGGGTTGCCATTTCCTTCTCCGGGTTCATCTGGCTCCTGCTAATCATTAACCATATTAGTAACAAGGCTTGTGTGTTTAACGGAACCACTACATCCTGTTGTTAAAACACTTTCATACATACAGCTCCTGTGAAGTGGGAAGGGTGGCTCCTGTAATCCATTTTATAGATAAGAAAACTGAACTTAATATAACTAAATTAACTAATGAAACCAGGATCTCACAAGAAGATGTGAGTGAAAAAGGTCTTTAAGTAAGAGTTCAGTGTTTTTTTTTTTAATTACCTCATTAACCTTTTCTATATCTTGAAGATTCCTCCTCACATTCAGGGTATTAACAGTCAAGTACCATTATACCAACCTGTGGACTGGATTTTAAATTCGAAGTAGCTTTTGTTTTGATGTAAAGGTGCACTGGCTAAACAACCTCCTGTTCCACATATTCGTCTTCCATTTTTTACAATGACGACGTCAGTTCCTAAACAAAAAATACAGACACTGTGTAAAGTTTTGTGTTCTTACCCAACAATCAAGGTTAATTTTTAAAAAATATTTATTGATTTACTGTTCACTTATTTGGCTGTGTTGAGTCTTGGTTGTGGTACAACGGATCTTCACTGCGTCACGTGGGATCTTTCACTGCAGCCCACAGACTCTCGAGTTGCAGCCCACAGGCTTAGTTGATCCAAGGCATGTGGGATCTTAGTTCCCTGACCAGGGACGGAACCTGTGTCCTCTGCATTGCCGGGTGGGCTGCGAACCCCTGGACTACTAAGGAAGTCCCTCAAGGTTAATTTCTATTTCACTTTAAACTCTTAGTCTCCAAAAAATAGGGAGACTATATATACTTCGAAATATGAAATAATGATAAATTATTTAAAATATTTAATTCACTTTTTTTTGGGAGAACATTTATATTTAATATTAATTTGTGGCTAGAAATTTTGTTTAATTAGACACTTTCAAATAAACAGTAATTTTGAATTATACTGAATTTTTTTTATATACATACTGAATATTTTAAACACTTTTAAGGTAGAAGTAGACTTTTTGTTTTTGGCTGTGCTGTGTGGCTTGTGGGATCTTGGTTCCCTGAACCCTGGGTCCACCTCAGTGAAAGCCCACAATCCTAACCACTAGGCCACCAGGGAACTCCTAGAAGTAGACTTTCTTCCATTTTAGCCAGTGAATCAATTTGATGACTTCATAAATCTCGATTTAATAAAAACATAAACACTTAAAAGAAGCTGAGAAATTAGTACAATTTTCAGTCCAATCCAAACAAAACAACCTGGTAAAAGCTGAATGAATGTATGTACAAGGTCTTAGGCAAGTGCACTGGTCAACAAGTAAGAACTGAAGAGTAATGAACCGTGGAAAGGAACATAGATCTATGTTCTTAAAATAGCGGACATGGAAAAATGCCAATTTTAGGATCTTAAAAATATCTGTAAGATAGCTGCTGTTAATCACATTGGAAAGATGTAAACAAGGTTTCAACATCATTAAATTCATTTTATTCTCATGGAAAATCTTAGTTTAGTTCAAATAACATTTGATATATGAGAGTGAGAAAAACAATCTCTTGATCATGTGACTCCAATACCAATTCTTTTCCAAACACTGATTTAGGAAAGCATATCAGAGAACATCAAGAAATTTAACAAAATGCTTATCTGTAAGAAATACCCCGTAACTATCCTGTGACAGACTCCCAAGATCTGTAATCAGTATAACTTTTCTGCTAGTAAGTTTACAAACCAAGCAGACCTGGCTATGAGAACTGTAGGGAAGAACTCCTCTTTCCAGAGGGGGTAAAATAAAACTAGAGAATAGTAACAAATGTACTAACAGAAAGGCAGGTCTCTCAACTCACTGTTGAATTCATACTTAAAAACAAAAAATTATTTGGGACAAATACATATGAGAAATACCAAATTCTCAAGACTTTACCACAATTCTAAATGGGCTGATTAAAGACACTCTTATAGAAGGTAAAACTAAGATCCTTCGTATTGTACTATGTGTGTGCTCAGTCCCAGGGATTGTAGCTCACCAAGCTCCTCTGTCCATGTAATTTCCCAGAGAAGAATAGTGGAATGGGTGGCTATTTCCTCCTCCAGGGGATCTTCCCAACCCAGGGACTGAACCTGCTCGTCCTGTGTTTCCTGCATTGTAATTGGATTCTTTACCCATTGGGCCATCGGGGAAGCCCATAGGATCCTATTATAAGATTATTAAAAATTCATTAGCATCCTTTTTTTCCCTAATTACAAAATGCTAAACTGCAAATTCTGGGAAAGTGTCTTAATACGTAATTTACACCTAGCTGCCTCACAGACCTCCAGCAGTCGCTGGAGAGCAACCAGGGCTCAGCTCATCCTTAATGGCAAAGACCATGGAGAGCTTGGCATCCAGCAGGCGCTCGACAAATAACTGATACGGAAATGAACGAACATGCTCTGCTAAGTACTTTGTCGTGGACACGGAGCATCTGTTTTCTCTTTCCCAACGAACTTGTCTCTGGAGATCAAAACAGTTCCAAGGAAGCTGACTCAATCTCTGGCTCCAGGGGTACAGCTTTGACCTGGGTTAAGTCAATCAGTGCATTCCACATTTCTTGGCCACAGCGACCAAGTGAAAAACGGTTATGTGACCTAAGCCACTACCATCAGAGTCTCAGCACTTTTGCAGCGAGAACGAAGGGATCAAGATTCTCTCGCTCTTGCTGGATTCCAACAAGGAAGCCCATAGCACAGGGAGAGGCTGCACGTCGTCACGGACACCAGCCTCCAGGAGTAAGCAATAGCTGATGGGGGACACAGACAAAAGGAGCCCAGTTGCTGGCAGTGCTATCTTTCCTGAAGCTAGTGCTGCATTTTACTTTTTAAATTTACACAAACCGATGAATTTCCTTCACTCTTCACCAATTTTTGAGTTGTAGGTTTTACTGCTTGTAACTGAAAGCACCCTAAGTGAAAAAACATTTCAAGAATTATGAAAATAAATGGTTTATTTTCTTAAACCCAGCAATACTCTATGGTTCTTACATGTAACTCTGAGTTGGAGCCAAAGAACCAAATCTGAATATGCTATTATGATCTTACTTCAATATCATTTCTTACCTCCAAGGCATTCTGCTAGGTGCTGAGATGTTTTATACAGAAAGATGGATATATTCAGAGAACATTCTAAAGTGTTTGTGAATCATTAAGGAATTATTTCAAGCCTATTCTATTTCTCTTTTTTTAAGTACAAAGACATTTGGATGTGTGTGATTTGTACAGTTTTATTATCAAGATTGTTTAGAAAGTCAAGGCAAATTTGAGTACAGTCAGAAAATATATAAACATAGCCAAAGAGTATTTTTTAAAAAGCATTAGACAATTCTAAATGAATAACATCCCTTTCAAGGAAGCTACCTTGGAAGACATTCATTTCTAAAAAGTATTAGTCACCCAGTCGTGTCCAACTCTTTGTAACCCCACAGACTGTAGCCCACAAGGCTCCTCTGTCCATAGGATTCTCCGGGCAAGAATATTGGAGTGGGCTGCCATTTCCTTCTCCAGGGGATCTTCCTGACCCAGGCATCGAACACAGGTCTCCCACACTGCAGGTAGATTCTTTACCACCTGAGCCACCAGGGAAGTTCTATATTTCTAAAAACCAAATCACAATTAAATATGGAGGTTGTGGTAAAAAAGAAGATATTTATAAAAACTACACAACAGAAAATCCCAAGAGGAACTCTAAATCACTTTAGGTGATGTAGCATTACCAATATAAGCGACAACTTTGAAAGAGGCAACACTCATTTGCATATAAAACATAGACTTAAAAAAAAAAAGGTAATCATATTAACCTTTCACATATCCAAATACATGCATACTCACTCGGTGGGCTTCTCCTATTTCAACTTAAGATCAGTTCATGCTTGAAACCTATTCCTAACTTGATAAGCCTCTCCTTTTATATTATTTGTTTTCTAAAATCAGACTTTTCCTGTGATTGAAGAATTTGAAGTTTTTGGAAGACAGGTTAAGAAAAAGTTTCCACGCAGGAAGAAAATCAGGGGATGATATTACTCTACTGAAAGATGCGGGGCAGCTTTGGAAAAAGGAGAACATAGTGGAACAAGTACCAGTAACCAGCTCTCCATGGAGAAGAGACCAGAGAAAACAAATAATTTAAAGAGTAGATTTTAGTAATTCAGGAGTTTGACAGTAGAGATAGAAAGAACTAAAGCTGATCATAACCTCCAGAAGCTATCTGTGGTTTTCCTTTACTATGTTCCTAGCATATAAAACAATGCCTGCCATCTGACAGTCACTCAATAAATATCAGTTGAGTGAGTGAATACATGAAATGGAAACATTTCCTGAGGGAAGTCACAGAATTTGAACATCTGTCTATAAGTGATGACGAATAAGGAATAATTCAAGGAGATATACGTACACTTACTTACATATTTATGTATTGGGGTTCTATATTACACTTGGGAGACCTAAGAATGAAAAGTAAAAACCCACATACAAAGTGGTAAACAATTATCGCATTTGTTATTTAGTACATGCTATAGAAATGTGAAAAATAGAAAAATACAATGAGCAGAGTGTTTTCAGAGTATAAAGAATCTGGGCAGGAGAGGGTTTTGCTACAAATATTTAAGCATTTCCTTTGTTATTTCAATGCACTGTCCTTTAGTCAAAGAGAGATATGGGAAAAACTAAAAGTGCAGATGTATATTTAGAAAAGAACAATTTGGCAAAAAGACAGTACTCTGAAATAATTACAGTGGGAAATGTCGTCTCCTAGAACCACACTCCAGAAGCATGGAACTACACGGGACAAGTCTAAGAAGGAAATAGTAAGGTGGTGAGAGGCTATAGAGGGAGGAGGAGAATGTTAGAGAAGCTACAGGCTCATTTGAAGTAGAAAGGAAAAACCATAAATGGGAAGAAGCAACACGCTACTTCTGCAATAGCCTGACCTGCTAGGAAGAAGCCAGCCAGGTGAAATTACACCACCTTTAAGCATGACTCAGGAGGAGCCGCACAAGGGGAGGTTTCTGTTGAAATGACATGTCCTGAGCTAAGCTGTGACTTTAGGCTTTTGCAACTTGTCTTGTCTTCACTTTCGGAGATGAGAGAAAACAACCGATTATTGACGGGCTAATAGAAAGCTGTCAGGGCAGAGGAAGGAGCGAGGACAGCTAAGTGTTCTCAACCCGTGCGTATGTGACGGAAGCTCGACGGCGGGATAGAAGGAGCACCGAGTCGCCCCTGCGCCCCTCGCCGGGGACGTCTGACGAGTCTCGGGAGGCGGCGGTCCCGAGGAGATTCCTGTGGGAACGGGAAGGTCCACACGCCTGTATCTCCCCGAGACAGGAGCGGACCGGGCTGCTTGAACACAGAACCAAGCCAAGGTGCGGTCGGCCGGAGTCCGGAGGAGGTCCGCGACGCCGACCCGGGTCTTCCGCAGCATCGCAGGGCGAGGGGCAGGGGACGACGCCCGGAGCCCGGGGGGCCCGGCCGCGTGCGGGGCTTCTCGAGACGCCCCCGACTGCCCCCCGACCCGCCGCGCCCGACCCGGGGTGGGCCGTTGGGTCTGGGGAAGGGAGGGCCCTTACCCATGTGCTGCGTGTCCAGCTGCACGGCCGGCATCTCCTTCAGAGGGATGTGGCCCGTCCCGCCATCTCTGCAGCACCGCAGGCAGCAGAACACCGAAGCGGCCATATCTCGGGGACCTCCAGCGATGACGCCCCCGCCGCCTGCAGCTCCTGGGCTGAGGCGCCACCGCCCCCGACCCCTCCGCTCCGCCTCCCGCCCGCGCCCGAGCGCCGGAGTAGGTGCGGCGAGGGTGTGGGGGGGGGTCTGTGCGCAGCGCGGAGGCGGGTACCGCGACGCCCCAGGCCGGGAGGGCGCAGCGCAGGACGACGAGAAGCCTGCCTGAACGGAAGATACGGAAGACCAGCGTGCGGGGCGGGGCGAGCTGGGGGCGGGGCTATGGTGGTGAGGGCGGGGCCAGAGGCGTGGCGTGGCGGCCGGGGGGCGGTGCGCGCCTGCGCGTGGGAGGGTTTTTCATTTGCAAAGCCCTGCTTGTGTGTCCTGATAACTGAGGGATGCGCGAGTTTGGCCGGGTTCACTGTACGCTCAGGGGTCCTGGGGTGCTCTATCTTTAAAATTGTGCCCCCCCCACCACTTCAGCATTATATTTAGAGATGAGCTGACAGAGGCAAATATGGCTGGGGAACGGGAGCCGATTTAGAAGAGCCCCAAGCTTGTCCCCGCGAGCCCAGGACTGAGAAAACTATGCCTCCACCCGAGAGCCTCTGACGCGCCCCCCACCCCCACCCTCCTTACCGTGACTGGTTTCTGAAGAGTGTTCTCAAATCCTAGGTAGACGCACAGGGCCCAGGATTAATGGCTGTTACTGACTGCATTGTGAATATACGTCCTGCGCTCTGAGTCTTCGATCCTGATGCATTTTAGGTACAGAGATGAGCTTTTCGTGGTGACCTTCGGGTGCCGCGCGGTCGCAGGCGCGCTGGAGGCCACACTGAGAGGGACCCCTTGGGCAGGGTGGGAGGGCGATCCTTGACCTGCCTCTTCCAAGCTCATCCTCCTCGTGGGCATGGAGTTCTGATGAGTGTGATGGGAACCTGGAGGTAGCGGGAAGAATGCGGGGCCTCCGAGGGACTACTCCGTTTCTACCGCCTGTTCTTTCCTGTTTCCACACAGGAATCTCCCTTGGTGATTACCTGTCAACTTCGTGCTTACGTACATCACCCGCTCCGATCTATTTTCTTTTCTTTTTTTTTTTTTTTTTTAATTAGTTGGAGGCTAATTACTTTACAACATTGCAGTGGTTTTTGTCATACATTGAAATGAATTAGCCATGGATTTACATGTATTCCCCATCCCGGTCCCTATCTTCAGATCCCACTTGGTGTCTGGAGATGGTGTGGGACGACTATCTAGAATTAACCTGAAATTAATCTGGCTCAAACCTCTGTTCCCAAATAAGGTTTCCTTCCTGGACGCTTCCCTAGGCTTCGAGTCCTGGAAACCCCGACGCAGAATGTCCTTTTACAATGTAATGGGTTCCTCTACACAACATTTTGGTGACCTGAGTACAAATATACTTTATGGAGAAATTTTTCAGGGGCCTGTGTTTCTGATGTTTATACAAATGGTGTTTTCATTATAATACTTATGAAGGGCATTGCAACCCATTCCAGTATTCTTGCCTGCACAATCCCGTGGACAGAGGAGCCTGGAGGGCCAGAGTCCACACAGTCACAAAGAGTCAGACACGACTGAAGCAACTGAACACTTTGTACTTTGAGATTTAGTTAACGTAGGATTAATAATCAAGATGATGACTGAACCCTTCACTGCCTATAAAGTATTTTCTTGGTAATCATTTTACACGTGAAATTTTCTTTTACTGAAAACAATATTCTGAGAAGTGTTAATGTTCTAGTTTTTTCCATTGGAAAGGAGTGGGGAGTTGAAAAGAATGTTGCAGAGACAAAAAATTCTCTGTCTGTGTGTAAGGTAGGCACTCTTTCACATATATATCTAATTGAATTATTGAAACCTTTGAGAGTGAATATTGCCTCTACTTTCCAGATGAAGCAATAGGCTTGGAGGGATTAAATAATTTGGGTAGACACAGATGATTAGGAAATAAACAAGGTGGGAGTCAAAGCTCATCAGTCTGACTCCTAAGCCTGTATTTGCTCCACCAGATCATGGCACTTCAAATTCTGAAGTTCTGACTCTTGCAATTAAGGCTACAATCCTCTTAAATGTGCTCTCAGTTCAAAAGGCAGATGTGCACTTTATTTTTGTATGTTTCATTAATCTCTGAATTAGCCATAAGCTGCCATAACTCATGTGTTTAGACAATAAAATTAGTTGTTATAAGATAAAATATTCAGAAATATTATTAAAAGTAGTGCATGCATTCACACATGCTCAGTCATCTCCAACTCTTTGTGATGCTGTGGACTGTAGTCTGCCAGGCTCCCCTGTCCATGGGATTCTTCAGGCAAGAATACTGGAGTGGGTAGCCATGCCCTCCTCCAGGGGATCTTCCCAGCCCAGGGCATGGAACCCACGTCTCCTGTGTCTCCACCATTGCAGGCTGATTCTGTACCTCTGAACCACTGGTGAAGCCCTATTAATAGTAGTACATATATTGAATATAATGAACATTCAGGCCATTCAAGGTAGTCACATCTTCAGTGAAAAGCCAGACTCATACAGCTGTGAATCAGCCTTTACTGTAGAGGCAGAATTGCGCTAGTCTTTCCTGGCAAGAAAAGATTTGCTGGGGCACTGCCCAGTGTACTTTGCTCCCGTTGCTGCTACTCAAGTGTACTCAGCAGTATGAAGCAAGCAAAACCGGTTAGCTCCTGAGACAGACTTTCCTGTCTTGGCAGATGAATGCCATCCATGAGCTCACAGACCTTATTCCTTCTTATATCTGGGATTCTATTATCCTTTCATTATTACTTTCAAAGAAATTGGCCTTTCTTTTGGAAAAGCACACTGTTAAGAGATATTTTGACAGTTTTTCACAGCTATCACTTTAAATAACCATCACAAATAAAGTCTACAAAAGGTTTCCCAATAGTTGGTTAGAAGGTCATTTATCTAAGTCAAAAGCAATAACAGAGAATGACTACTTGAGAAAAAAAGAAACCAAGTCTGTCTGTTTCAGCGACACATGCCAGGAGCTCAAGAAGTGATAGGATGATAATGTAAAGCATGTGTTCCCAAGTTGAGGTCAACATCGTGCTCAGGATTTTCTTTAATGGTTTTCATGTCAGCCAGACATCTCCTGTGAGTCAACTTTACTCCTTGTACTGGGTCATACAAAGTGGTTTCTTTCTTAAAAACTCATTTATCAGTGTATTAAGCCACACTTTTTTTTTTCTTGGAGTAATCCAAGCCCCATTGGTGATCTTTTAAAAATCAGAAACACTACAAAAAAAAAAAAAAAAACACCTCAGACTTCTAAAAACTAAAAATGTTTCTGGGGCCTTCATCTATTCGTTATTATAATTTTGAGTGATAGTAACTGACATTTATGTAGTGTTTACTATTGCCAAGCAATGTTCTAAGTACTTTGAATAAACTAAATTAATTATTGTAATAACCCCATGAGGTCAAACTGTCCTCCAGCTTTACAGATGAGGAAGCTGAGGCAAAGAAAAGATAAGAAATGTGCCCAGAGTCACATAGTCAGTAAGGGAAGTTACATTCAAATCCAGGCAAATCTGGTCTGTGTTCTTAACCACTATGCAAACTGCCTCCCTAAGGTGTCAAATTTAAGAGTCGATACCCCCGTTTTCATTTACTTCCTTCTCTTCCTTACCTCAGAAGTTGATGTTTAAATTTACCTGGCATTAGTTGCACTCATTCAATCTGGGTTTGCTGAATTATAAGGTGTATTACCTACATTCAACAACCAAAAACAAGACAAATAACAGGGAGAACCTTTTACTTGCAACACACGGACATTAGTCATCTTGCAGCTTTGCTGTTAGCAGCACCACTGAATATTTTCCCGCAGTGCCCTTCATAGGATGTCTCTAAATGGTCCAAAGAAAAGGATATTTAGTACTTTCAATGTCTAAGACACTTAAGCCAGGATGCAGATGGAAAACATAGAGATCTGGCATAGGAAGGGAAAAGAAAATGGGGTAAAATAAAGGTATTTGATAAAAGTGCAGGAAAATAAGAATAATAGAGGATAAAGCAGAACAATTTTTTAATATTAAAAAGGAAGAAAAAGAAGTCAATAGCATGTGCTCTATAAATAAGATGCCAGGGAATAAAAAAATGTGATTTACCAAAAACTTTCAACCTGGATTCCCTGGTGGCTCAAATGGTAAAGAACCTGTCTGCAATGCAGGAGACAGGGTTCAATCCCTGGATTGGGAAGATCCCCTGGAGAACAGAATGGCAACCCACTCCAGTGTTCTTGCCTGGAAAATCCCAGGGACAGAGGAGCCTGGTGGGCTGCAGTCCACGGGGTCACTAAGGATTAGACATGACTGAGCAATTAATACTTTCACTTTTTTTTCAACCTAGAAGATGTGTACCTTAATCTCCTTCTCTTCTGTGGAAGATAAAGCAGGCTGTCTTGAGCACAAAGTGTCTATTCAAGTCTTTGCCTTTTTTAAACAACTGAATTGTTGTTTATTCATTATTGATTTGTAAGGGTTTTGAAATGTATTCTGGATAAAAGTCTTCTGTCAGATATAAGATATTATGAAAATCTTGAAAGCAAGCAGGACCCTTGTGGGGCCCTCCTGGACACAAAAGCCTCTCTGTGTCCCCTGTTTTCTTATTTGCAGGAAAAGGACTTCTGTCTCCTAGACCTTCCTGAATACCAAAGAGCAGATTCAAACAGTTGCTAACCAGGAAAGTAAGGGGATATAGAAACAAAGGAGGAACAATCAGAAAATTATAGTCTCGACCCTGGTGCCTCCTCAAGAGATATAGGTAACAATATCTTTGAGTTCTACCCAAACCAAAATCCCCACCCAGTAGAGGCTGGCAACTTCAGGGAGAGTACCAGATTACCAGAGCACCACCCTGTTACCTCATTACCAACCAATCAGAAGAAAGTCTCACACCCAGCAGCCCTCACCCCAAGTTTTGCCTATATAAGCTTTTCCCCCCAAACCAAGGGAGTCTGGGGGGTTATGAGCATGAGC